TGTAGCGGAACGGGCGGGTGAAGTAGAGGCGGCTCTGGCGGCTGTAGCGGGGAGGGAGGAGGAGGTGGTGCGGGCGCGGGATGATCTTGCGAGAGAGCGGGAGAGGATGGAGGCAGAGATTGAGCAGCAGAAACAGGTGGTGCAGATGGAAAGGGAAGGAGTGGAGATGGAAAAGCAGGAGGCGGCGGCTAGGTTAGAGGCGGAGAGGGAGAAGGTGCGGATTGAGAGAGAGGTGGTGGCGAAGGAGAGGGAGCAGGTGGAGAGAGAATCCGAGGAGGTGAAAAAGGCGCTGGCTGAGGTTCACAGGCAGAGGGGTTTGCTGGGAGAAGAGAGGGACGCTGCTAGGAAGGAGGCAGCTGAGCATCGGGCAGCGATTAAAAATCTTGTTGAGGAACGGGCAGCGGCGGAACGAGGGGCGAAGGAGGCAAGGAACGAGTGGGAGAAGGCCAAGGGTGAGATGGACGCGTTAGAGAAGGAGAAGAAGGAGATAGCGCAGGAGAGGGCGAGGCTGGGAGAAGAGCAGCGGGACTTTGTCAAGAAGGTAGCTGTGGAACGAGAGAGCGTGGCTGTGGATCGGAAGCTCGCGCTTGAGAAGGTCGAGAGGGAGGCGGCGGGGGTGAAGAGGGACAGGGAGTCTCTGGCGAAGGAGAGGGCCGCGCTACTGAAGGAACGGGAGAGAGTGGAAAAGGAGAAGGACGGCGTGCAGAAGAAGCTGCTTGAGGTGCGGGTGGAGAGGGAGAAGGCACGGGAGGAGCGGACCAATACCCGGCAGGAACTGGCGGAGAGCCGAGCGGAGCGGGTGAAGCTGGGCCAGCAGAAGGCGGAACTGGAGAGGGAGATCAAGGCGCTTCAGTTGGAAAAGACGGATGTGCAGGGCGAGAGGGTGAGGATGGAGAGAGCGAGGGAAGAGCTGGAGAAGCTGAGGGAGGGGCTGGTTGCAGAGCGGGCGGAAGTGACTGCTGCTATGGGGAGGCTGGATAGGGAGCGGCTGGATGTAGCCGCTATGGCGAGGAGAGAGAGGGAGGCGGTGGAGAAAGAGAAGGCGGCTGCTGAGGCGAAGATAGAGAAGGATGCTGCAAGGGTGGCGAGGGAGAGAGCTGCTGTGGGGAAGGAGAGGGAGGCAGTGGGGAAGGAGAAGGAGGAGGTGGTTGGGGTGAGGGAGGAGGTGAGAGCGGAGAGGGCTGCTTTGGCTGTGGAGAGGCGGGAGTTGAAGAAGGACCAGGCGGATGCTAGGGGTGCTGCTGCCGAGCTGAAGGCGGCTAGGGCTGCAGCAGAGAGGGAAGCGGAGGTGGTGCGGATGGCTGCGGCACGGGCGAGGGCAGAGCAGGAAGCAGCAGTGAAGGCTGGGGAGAGTGTGGCGGCGGAGAGAGAGAAGCTTGCTGCTGCAGCGGGCGAGCTGGAGAAGGAGAAGGAGCTCCTAGAGAAGATGAGTTCCGCTGCTGCTGCTGAACGGGCGGAGCTGGCAACGGAACGGGCTGGGAACGAGGGGCTGCTGAGGAAGATTGAGGAGGAGAGGGAGGGGGCGAGGGAGGAGCGGGAGAAGGAGAGGAAGGAGATTGGGGAGCGGATTGCGGTGTTAGAAGGCCTGGAGAAGCAGCATGTGGAAGCGATCCAGGCGGCAAGAAACATCCAGGAGCAGAGGGCGAAGCTGAGGGAGGAGATGGAGGAGTTGGAGAGGGAGAGGGGGAGGTTGAGGGTGGAGGAGGCGAAGGTGAGGGAGGGCGTGCGGGAGCTGCAGGGTGAGCGGGAGAAGCAGAGAGTCGCGCTTGAGAAGGAGAGGGAGGAGGCTGCTGCTGCTCAGGCTGCCCGTTCCGCTGCTGAAGCTGAGAGGCTGGCTGAAAGGATGGCAGAATTTGAATCCCGGATGGAAGAGGAGAAGGCTAAGCTGAGGAGGATGCGGGAGGCGCTGGAGGAGAAGAGGCTTGCAGTGGAGGAGGAGAGGGCGAGAATCGAGGGTGAGAGGGAGGAGCAGAAGAGGCAGAGAGATGAGATGGTGGTGAAGCGAGTGGAGCTGAAGAAGGAGATAGCGGAGAAGGAAGCCGAGGTGCTGCAGGTGGAGCAGCTGAGGCGGCGGCAGGAGAGGGAGCTGAGGGAGCTGGAGAAGCAGCGGGCGAAGACCAAGGAGGAGAGGGAGGAGGTGGAGCGGCAGAACCTGGAGCTGGTGTCCCGCCGGGCGAAGGCGGAGGAAGAGGTGGGTACCACGCTGGCCGGGATTGAGTCCGAGAGGGCTGCTGCTGAGAAGGAACGGCAGGAGAAGGAGCGGGATCTGATGATGCGGTCTAGGAGACTTGATGAGGAGCAGAGGAGGCGGCGGGAGGAGTGGGAGGCGCTGGTGGAGGAGGAGAGGAAGAAGCTGGAGAGGGAGAGGGAGGCGGTGGCGAGGGACAGGGCGGACACGCAGCGGCACTGGGACGATGTGCAGAAGATGATTCAGGAGCTGCACCAGCAGCGGCGGCAGCTGAAGGAGGAGAGGGAGGCGGGCAGGAAGACGGAGAGCGCGGAGCGGAGGCTGTCGGGGGGGTCGAGCTGGATCGCTGGGGGCCATGACCTGGCGGAGCAGCTGCGGTTCGCCAGGGAGAGGCTGAATGATGAGCGGGAGGAGTTTGAGATGCAGAAGAAGGAGCTCGAGGTGAGGGCTTTTTTTTTTTTTTTTGTCTGCCGCTTTTTGTGTGGTTCTTGTAAAGCAGCTTGGTGTGCGAGAGAGAGGTTGGGCAATGTTTGAGGTTTCTGATGGTTTCTGAGGATGGTTTGTTTGTTCTTTTCCTGCTGCCTGTCTTTCCCTTGGTAATGCAATTGGTTTTCTGCTTTTTCCTTTCTCCTGAGTTTGAGCAGGCCCTATTTTTGAGGCGCCTCAAAAATAGAGTCTTGAGTTTGAGCAGGCCCTGTGTCAATCAGTGGAGACGGAGCGAGAGGGCATGGCAAGAGAAGCCTTTTGAGGTGCCTCAACAGCTCCGTAAAATTTTGTCCCCTCCCCTCCCCTCGTTTTCCCTCCCTTCCGCCCCCAAAACGTTGAACAGGCACAGCGCTGGTCAGTGGAGTTGGAGCGAAGGGCATGGTGAGGGAAGTCTTTTGAGCTGCCTCAACTGTTCTTCCTGTATAACCCCTCTCCTCCCTTGTTCCCCCCCACCCCCCCCCCCCGAAAACCTCGAGCAGGCCCAGCGCCGGTCAGTGGAGATGGAGCGAGAGGGCATGGCGAGGGAAGCGGAGCGGCTCAGAGTGCTCAAGTCTGAACTCGCCACCATGGAGACCTCTCTGCTGGCCTCACCTGGCCAGGCCCAGGCGAAATCTCAGGTGCCGCCAACAGAGGCAGCAGTTGCAGCAGCAGCAGAAGAGGAAGTGGAGGCAGCAGCCGCTGCAGCAGCAATGGGGGTTGGCAGGAACGCCGGAGAGGGGGGTATGTTTGCAACTCCTGGGAAGGAAGCAGGGGCGAAATCCGCTCTTCCAACCACCCCTACCTCTGCACTTGCTGCTGCTGGGGCGGGTGTAACCACTGCCATAGATGCCGCTGCTGCTGCCGCTGCTGCTCCACCCATGACTGAGCCTCCGAAGCCGCGTCGGAACTGGGCACTGGAGCAATGCAGACGGACTGCATTTGGCTTGGCTAGTCTGTGGGGTGCCGGTGCTGGTGGTGCTGGTTCTAACAAGTCGCCTGCTGGTGCGGGCCCGTCAGGGATGGGTGAGGAGGAGAGGGATGGGTGGAAGGAAGGCGAGGAGGGAGAGAAGGATGGTGGGGATGATGTTCCTGATGCTGACAATGCTGATGGGTACGCTGATGCTGATGGTGAAGGGGAGGAGGAGGCATTCAAGGATGCTGAAGGAATGCAAGTTGAAGGGGCAGGGGATGGTGCTGCTGTTGTTGGTGTGGCTGTTGCTGCTGCTGCTGTGGGGACTGCAGGGGAGCAGGCAGATGGTGCAGGAGTGGCAGTAGGTGTTGTGGAAGTGGAGGCTCATCTGGCTGTAGCAGCTGTAGCAGGAACTCCTGGTACTGCAGCCGCTGCTACAACCGCCCCTGACCCTTCCAAACCTGCTGCCAACCCTGCCACACCGGCCAGAGCACCCGGGGGAAGCCAGACCCCGTCGGGACGTGTGAGGCGCAGAGGCGGGGGGGGAGAAGGGGACGGGTATGCAGGAGAGGAGGTGGATAAGCCCGTGCGGAGATCAGCAAGGAAAGCAACAGCTGCTGGGTCGGAGTCTCAGGGTTTGAGTGCAGGAGGGGTGGGGGGGTCACCTACCAGCTCTGTGAGGGGTGGGGCGAGGAGGGGAGGGTGGCAGGAGGAGGGAGGAGGGGAGGAAGGGGAGCAGGGCGAGGAGGGGGGAGGAGAGGGGAGGAGGGAGAGTCAGGGAGTATGGAGAGTGTGGATGAGGAGAATCTGAGTAGGAAGAGGAGGCGGGGGGGAGAGGAGGAAGAGAGGGAGGAGGGGCTGGAAGCGGAGCGGGAGGAGGGAGGGGGTGAAGAGGAGGACGGGAATAGTGAGGCTGGGGAGCTGGCAGGTGGGGGGAGGGGAGGGAGGGGACGAGGTTCGGGGCGGGGGAGAGGGAGAGGTAGAGGAAAAGCAGCAAAGCTGAAGTAGAGGGAGAGAGGAGGAAGGGAAGTGGTGGTGGAGTGGTGTGTGCAGATAGGGCAGGGGAAATGGGAGGGAGTATTAGGGGAAGGGAATGAAGAATGGGGGAGGAGAGGGAGGAATATAGTACGCATCTGGGTTATGGAACTGTAACATTTGTGTGGGTTCTTAGGAAGTAATGCAGGAGTCGTTTTGTAGACTACAGTTCTGACAGTTAATGTTGTGACAAGGCGGTGTAATAGAGAGACTAATGTAGCAGCATGGTTTAGTTTAGTGTTTTTAAAACTACTAATGGTACTATTCGTTTTAGTATAACCTTTTTAGTCGTCTTTTTCCCTCCATGTTGTTTCGGATTGTCCCAGGCAGCTACTACCGCGAACGTCGAATCTTCCCATTTGTCACGTGGAGGCACGCGCGAATTTGGCCTCACCTTCGCCTAGATTCCTCCGCGAATTCGACTCCCTAAAATATTAGTCCGCGCAACGGACGGGCTACAGCGAACGCCGGAAGCTTGTTATGATTGATGGGGTGATTCAGCAGCGACTGTTCTCGTATTGTAGAAACCACCTCCCAGATTGCATCTCCTAAATAGCACCTCCAGAATAGCACCTCCTAGATTTCTCCCTTGCCTGCCGCTCAGCGCGCAATGGACGCGCTACAGCGTCTCCTGCCGCCTTTCCTAATCGACGAGATCGAAACTCATCTCTCCTCTCGCCGTGCCTTCGCGGCTTTCGCGGCCGTCGAGAGGTGCATTCTCGAGGACCGCTCGCACCGGCGAGTATTCGACAAGGTGAGGTGGGCTGCATCGTGATGTCCGCGTTATAAGTCGCAGGCAAACTCTTCTCCAACCGAACCTTGCCGCTCTCACAGCCGTTGAATGTTACATTCTCGAGAGGAATTCAAACGCTGGCGATTCTTCGACCGGGTCGCCTCTTGGTGTTGATGTCCGCGTTATTAGTCGCATCTGTCAACTTATAACGGGTGTTTCAAACTCCCCCCGTCATGCCTTTCCCTTCCACACAGCTGGTAGCTCCGCTCACTGACAGGAATGGCCCGTGCGCCAAGGAAGGGGGGGCTGCAAGGGAGGCCAACGAAGCGGGTGTGACCAACTTACCCCATTCCCCGCTGCCTTTCCCTTCCACACAGCCGGTAGCTCCTCTTACTGACAGGAATGGCTCGTGCGCTAAGGAGGGTACGACTGCGAGGGAGGCCAAAGACGCATGTGTTACCAACTCCCCCCATTATGCCTTTCCCTTCCCCGCTGCCTTTCCCCTCCACACAGCTGGTAGCTCCGCTCGCTGACAGGAATGGCCCGTGCGCCAAGGAGGGGGCGGCTGCAAGGGAGGCCAAAGACGCGGGAAGCCGTGCATTCGCGGATCAAGATTTCGCTGAGGCTGCAGCCTGCTACAGCAAGGTGAGGCTGTAGCAAGGTGAAGCTGGTGAGGCTGTAACCTGCTACAGCAAGGTGAGGCTTTGAGGCCCTTAAAGGCAAGGTGAGGTTTTGAGGCCAAGGTGTGTGCTACAGCTAGCTATGTGACAGTAAGAGAATCATCCCATGGGTATCCCTTCACCTCTCTACCCTGTTGCAGGCCCTCCAGTATTCCCCTCCAGTATTCCCCTCCAGTATTCCCCTCCAGTAAACCGGAAGTCGGAAAAGATCCTCTCAAAGCAGGGGCTTCAGTACCCCTTCTGTTGACCCTAACGTCCCTACCTACTATCCCTCCGTCCATACCCTAGTGAACACCACTTGGGTTGAGCAAAAGTTATTTAGAGCAAGCTCTATTTTTACTTCAGCGTTTACACAAGTTGCTGCCACGTAAAGTACCATGGCACCCAAGTGGTGTTCACAGGGGCTTCAGTACCCCTTCTGTTGTCCCTAACGTCCCTCCCTACTATCCCTCCGTCCGTACCCTCTCCCATCCTTAGTATCTTTCTCCTTCGTTCCATTCTTTGTCCTTTTCTGCCACAGGCCCTCCGGTATGCTCCCCTGGCATCACCTGACCTGCTGGCAGTGCTCTTCACCAATCGTGCCACGTGTCTGCACGTGAGTGGCTCTTCGACGTTGCCATGTGTCTGCCTGCGTTTGTCGTCGCCTTTTTTGTGCTCCACTTGCTAATATGTGATGCATGTCTATGTGTGCATGTGTGCGTGTATATGTGCGTGTATGATCACCCATTGGTGTATGATCGTCAGAGAATGGGCCAGCTGATGTGAGGCTTGTAAGCTGAGGAAGATTGCTCACATGCTTATATATAAATTTATGCTCAATCAAGTGTGTATATGTGCGTGTATATACACCCGTTGGTGTATGACTTCAGAAAATGGGCCAGCTGTTGTAATTTCGAGGAAAATTGCTCACATGCTTATATATAACTTTATATTCAATCAAGTGTGTGTATGTGCGTGCATATACACCCAACCCATGGGTGTATGACGTCAGAAAATGGGCCAGCTGATGCAAGCTGAGGAAGATTGCTCCCATGCCATTCACCTCTCTCCAGCTTATTGCAAGGTAATTGCCGTGCCATGCCATATCTCATGCCATGCCATGCCATATCTCATGCCATGCCATGCCATATCTCATGCCATGCCATGCCATATCTCATGCCATGCCATGCCATATCTCATGCCATGCCATGCCATGCCATGCCATGCCGTGCCATGCCATTCCATGCCATGCCATGCCATGCCGTGCCATGCCATGCCATGCCGTGCCGTGCCGTGCCATGCCATGCCATGCCGTGCCATGAATATTGCGTAACATGCCTTGCCTTTTGTCTGCTTCTATGCCAGGCATGGTTTCGCCGGGGATGCGTTCGGGCTGCCCAAAAGAAATTTCACAGTGCAGTCAGTGACTTCAAGAAAGCTCTTCTATTGGAGGAGGCGGCTGGGAGCCGACCAGGGGCAAAGAAAATTGTTGATGAGCTGAGGAGGGTTTTGGAGGAGCAAAGGGAGGAGGAAGACGGGAAGAATGGGAAAACACCCAGAAAGGAAGGGGCAGAAGAAGGAAGTGGGGCAGTGGGGAGAAACACAGTAGCTGAGCTTACAGCAGCAAAGGACTTCATAAGAGGAGACACAGCAACAGCGGTTGAAGCAGCAGCACCACTGCCAGCAGCAGCGGTTGAAGCAGCAGCACCACTGCCAGCAGCAGCAGCAGCAGCACCACTGCCAGCAGCAGCAGCAGCAGCAGCAGCAGCAGCAACAGCATGGTTACATCCTCGACTGGAGGCATTCCTCTCTGAAATCGTTGACGGCCTTCAAGCCCGTCATGCGGCAAATGCTACCCAAAGTGCAAGAGCAAGCACATGTGATGGTTCGGCGACCACCCAAGCGGCAAGTCCAGGATGGGCCCTCAGGTGCTCTGTGTCTCGCAGTGCAAGTGATGCTGCATGCGGTAACATTAACGCTGCTCCTGCATCAGCAGACAAAGCGGCTGTTACTGCTGCTGCTGGTGCTGCGGGTGCTGCTGCTGATGCTGGTGCTGCTGATGCTGCTGTTGCTGGTGCTGCTGCTGCTGGTGCTGCTGCTGGTGGTGCTGCTGCTGCTGCTGCTGCTGAAGCCCATCATGCCACTGCCACGCAAATCGAAGCACCAGGCTCTCAGGGTCTTCCAGCCGGCACAGTGGTTCTCGTGGAGCAGCCCATAGCCGCTGTGAGTAGAGTGATTTTTTAGTCGACTCAAAATATGATTTTTTAGTGATTTTTGAGTCGACTCAAAAAGCACAGTGGTTCTCGTGGAGCAGCCCATAGCCGCTGTGAGTAGAGTGCGGCTGTTTGAAGATTGCGTGGTGGTGTGGAGAGTGTGTTTGATTATTAGCTTCGCAAGGTGCTCCTTGAGTTGACTCTCAAGAGTCACCTCTCTCTCGAGGTCTTCCAGCTGGCACAGTTGTTCTCGAAGAGTACGTTCTACTTTCTTAGGCACCTGAAAAATAGATGCTCAGATCAGAGCAGTCAGTAGTTGCTGTGAGTGGAGTGTGGTTGTGTGGAGAGTGCGGAGTGGAGTGTGGTGGTGTATTTTGAGTCGACTCAAAATACACCTGGTTGCTGTGAGTGGAGTGCGGTTGTATGGTGTGGAGAGTGCGTTCGACCCTCGAGTTTGACTAACTCAACAGTGCTGCCGTTGCAGTGAAGGGCTGCTGTAAGTTTGACATCCGTGCTTCACTGCTCGCTGCTGCAGTTCCCTTTCCCTTGATGTTGTATGTGATTTTTTAGAACTCTAAAAGATCAGTTCCCTCTCCCTTGCTGAACTCCCTCCCCTGGCATCCCTATGGAAC